ATTTGTAAACTCACAGAAATATGTCTGGCAGGATACACACCTTTCTGGAAGGGACTGGAGTTGGAGTAACTGTCAAGTGGAACCTCAGCTTTACCTTTATTATTTGAATCTTTACTTTGAGAATGCATCTATATGTTACTTACAAAGTTACAAAAAATAACATTTTTAAAAATTAAAATTAAAAAAAAACAAAGGGCCCAGCAGTGAGTTTATGTTAATAGGGGAGGAACAATTCAGAAAAGCAGAGTGAGAATGGTTGTACAACTGGAAGAATGTAATCAATTTCACTGAATTATACATGTAGAAACTGTTGAATTGGTGAATGTTTTGCTGTGGATATTCTCAACAACAAATAAAATAAGGGCCTGGGAAGCAGTGAGGAAGGAGTAGTTAACTTCGCCATCTGCAAGTCAAGGAAAGAATCACAGAGGAGATGGTATCAGAACTGGGTCTTGAAGGAGGCATTGCCAGGGAAAGGAGGACAAGGAACAGCGTATGGTAAATGTTTTAGTCATCTAGTGCTGTTATAACAGAAATACTGCAAGTGGATGGCTTTAACAAAGAGTTTATGTCTTCACAGTAAAGTCAGCTAAAAGTCCAAAATCAGGGTGTCAGCTTCAGGGGAAGGCTTTCTCTCTCTATCAGTCCTCATCAATCTTCCTCCAGACTAGAGCTTCTCTGAGCAGGGACCCCGGGTCCAAAGGACATGCTCTGCTCCTGGCACTTCTTCCTTGGTGGTATGAGGTCCCCCTGTCTCTCTGCTCCCTTCTCTCTTTTATATCTCAAGAGATTGCCTCAGGACACAATCCAATCTTGTAGACTGAGTCCTGCCTTACTAACACAACTGCTGCCCATCCTCCCTCATTAACATCATAGAGGCAGGATTTACAACATACAGGAAAATCCTACAATACTAGGAATCATGGTCCAGCCAAATTGATACACAGATTTTTTGGGAGACATAATTCAATCCATGACAGTAAAGATATGACAGCCTGAGAAGAAAATGATGTATTTGAGCAATGGCCAGAATTTGTATCAACATAGTTTGGGTGTGTGTGGTTCAGTGGGGAGAGGAAGGGAGGAATGAATATGAGATAAGTTTGCAAGGATAGGGTTAGGGTCTATTGTAAAGGGCTTTTGTACCATACAAAGAAGGTTGAACTTTGCTTGGATGATTTTTTTCTTTTTTTAGGCTACCTAAGGGACATTAAAAGAACCATGGTGGTGCAGAGGTTAAGCACTTGGCTGCTAACCAAAAGGTTGATGGTTCGAACCCACCGACCGCTTCGCAGGAGGAAGATGTGGCAGTCTGCTTCTGTGAAGATTTATAGCGTTGAAAACTCTATGGGACAGTTCTATTCTGTCCTGTAGGGTCAGTATGAGTCGAAATCAAGTTGATGGCAAGAGGTTTGGTTTGGGTATAAGAGATATGATCACATCTGAAGGATCGTTTTGGCAGCCATGTGGAGGACAGACTGGAGGAGTGGGGATTGAATGCTTGGAGACTGGTTAAGGAGGCTGTTGAGTTGCCCAAGCAAGAATATGTCCCTAAATGACAAAAAGTAGGTGGAGAGAAAGGGCATAATTTAAGAGATAAGCAGGAAGTGGAACTAACAGTGCTTTCCTCTCAGCATCCACTCCATCCCAACTTTTCCTAGTAGCTGTATCCTGCTTTGGGGGTACCACTGTCTTTCACCTTTAGTCCTTGTGTTTTAGACTCTGCACTCCAAGGGTAGGACACACGATCTGGATTAAGTCATTAATTCATTCTGTTCCCCAGGCCACCTTTCAGGGAGAAGCACATGACCCTTATTAGGCCAATCAGGCCATCAAGACCCTTCTGGAACTTTTGTATGCAAACTCCCTCCTGCTGGACCAAGTGGTGTGATAATGGGAGCCTGGAGCTGCCGAAGGCCAGGAAGGCCGCGGTGGACCTGTGATGGAGCCAACCCAGGGGAAGCGAAGCCTATAGATGGACCCCAGTAGCATCTTTAGAGCCCAGAACCAAGCCATGTTGTGCCTGTGGACTTATGATAAGCCAGTGATTTTTTTATTTTTTTTTAATTTTTGGTCTAAATCAGTTCTGAATGACTCAGAATTGAGAGTATTCACAGAGTGTCCCTAACAATCAATACTGG